AATTGGAATGCATATGCACTGTTGGTTGGGATGTAAAATAGTATAGCCACAGTAGAGAACCATGCAGCAGCTTTTCAAGAGCTATTTAGACACCTATCTTCATAGCAGCATTTCCATAGTGGTTAACATGTGGGAGTAACCAAAGTGTCTGCCGGTAGATGAGTGGATTATAAAATTGCAGTAGACACACATACAGTGAAATATTATTCAACCTTAAAAAGAAATAATATTCTAACAGACTCGGCATGGATGAAGCTTGAAGATGTTACACTAAGTTGAATAATCCAGTCTCACAAAAAAATGAAATAGTGTAGCATTTCCATTTATATAAGATACCTAAAATAGCCAAAACCATAGGGACAGAAATTTGAATGGTGGCTGTCAGGAGCTGGTGGGCAGAGGAGAATAAGACAATATCATTTAGTGGTACAGAATTGTTTTGCAAGATAAAAAGGGTTATGCAGATGGTGATGGTTATATAACAATATAATTAATACCACTCCACTGTGTGTTTAAAATGCTTCAGATCATAAATTTTATGTTGCACATTTTACTACAATAAAAAAGAAAGAAAGAAAAAGAGTCAGTGATATAGAGCTGTCTTTTCAGAATAATGTGAGAATGTGTGTGGCGACGGCAGGTAAGGCCCGGGTGACTGATTGGGGCTGGCATTTGGAGAATGGGAATCACCTGTGCAATGAACCTGTGATTTTAAATAGGACTCTGGGTAGTTCCTTTCAAATGTAGCTTTTTTTGTTTTTTTTTTTGGCAGTTTTGCAGTCTTCTGCTCTCTCATCACTGGGTCTTCACCATTTTCAAAGAAGCTCTCCATGACATTTGTTTTTTACTCAGTTTAGTCAGGGTTAGCAGAAATGTGACTGAGGCAAGTGTGCAGTGCAGCAAAGAGGCATGGTTAGAAGTGGGAAATCAATAGAGAGTGATTCAAACACAGACTAAACTAAGTAAGTGTTGGCTTCTGACCTAAAGCCTTCCACCAGATGCAGCTTACAACTGAGGTACATCAATTCGCTTGTCACTGTAAATCCTGCTATCAGATACAGCTTAAGTGTCACTAGCCACTCACTGATAAGAGTTTGAGATGAGTCTACAAGCAGTTGACTTATTACAGTCTCTGTGCAATCAAACCTCTCTGCTAATGATAGTCTGTATTTGCAGCCATTCCTGTGCGCTTGCATCACCGCCTTAGCTCCACCTCCGATCATCAGGCGTTAGATTCTCATAAGCAGATTCTAACCTCCATCCCTGCACAGTTCACAGTAAGGTTTATGCTCCTGTGAAAATATGATGTTGCTGCTGATCTGACAGGAGGCAGAGGTGAGGTGGTGACATGAACAATGGGGAGCATCTGTAAAGACAGATGCAGCTTTGCTCAGCTCCCTGACGCTCACCTCCTGCAGTGTGACCTGGTTCTTCACAGGCCAGGAACTGCTACTGGTCTGTGACCCAAGGACTGCAGACCCCTGTACTAAGTGATTCTTAAAAACGTACAGGACTCTTTCTGGGTCCTGGTAAAACAGCTTTCATGATGTATCTGCTGAAAACTGGAAGCCAATACCAATGCTCACCTTTTTTCTGAAGTCCATTTAGGCTTCAAATGTGTGCTGTGTCCTGAATGTCTAGGCCCCTGTCCCTCTCATCTTCTTCCCACATCTCAACTCCCTACCTCTCTGCTTCTATTTCCTGGATATGCAGAAGTCTCTTTCCATGGGAGGAAGAATGACTTCGTTCCCCAAAGGTGGTCACATCATAACTTCCAGAACCTATACACACATTAAGTTACACAGCAAAAGAGAACATGAATCCAAGTGGAACTAATGTTCTAATTGGATAATTTATTAAATTTAAAAACAAAATAAAAGATAATGATATAGAATTTCAAAAAAAGTAGGAAATTAACACTAGTTAATATATTGCATATCATCCTCTTAACAGTAGCTGTTCAGGTTACAAGATTTAGGCATAAAAAATGATCAAACAATCAAACAATGAGAGCACAAACTATTCTTTTTGATGAAGGGAAAGATTATATGGGGTTAGGTGGGGAGGTGCAATGCAGTTAGAAGTGTTCCTCAGAGTGAAAGAAGTGGCCTGAAGTGGAGTCAGAGTCAGAGAGAGACTAACTTACCTTTGCCAGCTTTGAAGATGGAGGAAGGGGCTACAAGCCATGGAATGCTGTCAGCCTCCGGACACTGCAAGTAAGAACCAGATTCTCCTTAGACTTCCCGCCCCCAGAAGGAAAACAGGTCTGCTGATTTAAGCCCAGAGGTTTCCATTTCAGACCTCTCATCTCCAGAGCTATAAGAAAAGTTCCTTACTGTTTCAGCCACTAGATTTGTAGTAATATGTTAGAGCAGCAATAGAACAACACACTCTATCTCAGTCTCCTTAGGATGCCCACAGCTGTTCTTAAGGAGCTTAAAAAGACCTAGGACATAGGCTTTCCTAGATGCTCAAATGACGGTAATGGGGCTCACACTAGGTCTACTGGGCAATGACACGAACTCTTAATAATAGTGGTTTGAGAAACACAGGTCCTTCTCTGTCTTCACACAGGAGAGGTGCCAGTCCATAGCTGGCATGGTGTCCACACAACCACCAAGGACACAGGTTCCTCCTGCTCACTGAGGAGTGTTCAAGATGGTCAATAGCAGGAGGATGGGAAGCAAGGGGGATATCTCCTTCCCTCAGGGACACTTGTGCTTCATTTTCACAGAAAACTGTATTAGCCACGAGGAAGTTGCAGAGTGTATCTTTTGGCAAACCACACACCCAACGAAAGTTCTGGTTTCTTGTGATCCCTGTTAAAAAGAGGCAGCGGGGGAGACTCATTCGCAATGAAAAAGGTAGAATTGAGTTTTAGGAGGCAAACTGTGGGTCTCTGCCACAGGTTGCTGTGTGGTCTCGGGTAGATTCCAAGACAGAAAGAAGAGTGGCTGGCCAGCCTAGATGCTCGAGGCTTCCTCACACTCAGTAAAGATATGCTAATCCTCTGATTATCTGCATTCTAGTGTGATGACTGAATTGTACTTTGGCAGAAACAGTGTCTTCACAGAACAGTGTCCAGGGGCTTAGGGATCATAACTGCCTCTAATTCGGGAGGAACAGAAGAGTTAGGTCACCCTGCTGCATAAATCGACACTCTGTGTTGCCCCTATGAAGTCTCGTTAGGTTGTTAGATGTTCATTTGATTGTGAGTCTATAATTTCCCTAAGGGCTGAGATGACTGAGTCCCTAACCATGCTGATGAAATCATAGTTTTACATTTTGCTTTTGTTTTGTTTTTACATGTATTTCTCCTTCCCTTGATCTCCAAGTGCATGAAAGTACTCTTTGGAGATCTTCATGGCTTCAAAAATCCCTTCCATCTTCCCTCTCACTTTATTGTTCCCAGTCCTTTTAAAACTAAGTTGAGGGAACAGTTAATTATCTTCCAGTTTATCCTGCAAATCCTGCTGGCTGGCTTATTTTGCAGTATTTATTATAAAGTGACCCCCTCTATGAGGAAGCTTGTATGTTTACAGAAAATTATACATAATTTCTTCTTTTGTCTTGAAGAATTCTGTCAAAAAAGAAGAAAATGTACGATCAAAAAAGGAGAAAAGGCTATGGCTTTTTTTGGTAATCACAGCAGAAAATTGTTCCTTAAACTTGCTGGTTTAAACTATGTATAAAATGTATCATGGATTATTCTTTCTTCTCCAAATTTTCTGCATGTCCTCTTTCCTTTCTGAGATAGGTAACCTGATCCTACTTTATCCCTGGATTAGAAGATTTCCCAAAGCCAGCAGAGGTCACAGCATTTAATATAATGCCTTCAGAACAAGATCCAGCTACTGTTGACTAAGGCAGCATTGAATGTTTTTGTCTCTCGGGTCATGTGATCATTCAATTGAAGTGCTCAAAGTTTGCATCACTATTGGGTGTCAGTGATCTCAAAGCATACATGATCCTGCAGTTACCTGTGCCACCTTGCCTGGAACAAGACCCAAACATAATGTAGGGGAAATGGGCACCAAATATAAATAGGACACTTTCCAAGATGAACAACACTATTAAAGTGAGATGGTGTATCCAGAAAGGATGCAAAGTAAAGTGACAGTCAGATTTGGAAGGGGTGGGAGGCACACAAGGGCAGTGGAGTTGGTTTGCTTAGAGCAAAGAATCCTGGGTATTGTCTTACATGGCCACAGAATTTCGCTTTCAAAACGTGTGTGTGCCCCATTTCCATATTCACAACATGAGTCAGTATTTCGTACTCAATCTGGCAAAACATGAGGAAGCTAATTGGCGTACTTAACAATTTACACCTGGCCATCCCCTCTCCTTGACCTTTCGGATGGGTTCCTGAAGAATGGGGAGTAAGGAAGGTAATCATGAATCGAGCTGCCTTTCAAATAGAGTGGAGAGGAATCTCTATTTTCAGCTCTGCCTTAAGTGACACTGAGAAGGCAGCCTCCTGTCACAGTGGTACAATAGGCAGAGGTGTCCCAGTTAACCAGCAGGGTGGGGCCCAAGCCCATTGAGAGAACATTAGAAAGTGTCGTAAATCCTGACACGTAGAATTAACCATGTCTGTCCCTCTGTTCTCATTTCATGCTTCATCCCCCAAGGACAGCTGACAGCTATAACACGCGATAAGCATGAAAGCCATCACCGTAACCATTCATACCATTGCCTTTACCGATTCGAACTTATTTTATAAATCAAAATACTTTAAACATCTTGGGTTTTTTCCTTTTAATGTAGCAGCGCATCTTATTCTACCCAATTCTGTGAGCATTCTTTTTTTCTTTCTCCTCTGAAGAAGGGATGGTAAAGGGTAGAGAACTGGAAAGTCAGACCTCGTCTGATCTGCCTGGCAATCGGACGTGCAGAGGGCGAGAGAAGCCAGGTTTTGGCTACAACCACTGTATGGGAAACTTGTGGGTTTGGCAGCTCATGAATTCTTATGGAGTCTTCTTTCTTGCTTTCTTCTCTAGAGTATCTGAAAGACCCATCCAGTGCTCCGATGGCCAGCAACAACACCGCCAGCATAGCACAAGCCAGGAAGCTGGTGGAACAGCTGAAGATGGAAGCCAACATTGACAGAATAAAGGTGAGCTCCACGTAAGCCCTGCAGCCCATCTAGTGCAATTATGGGGAGCATGACTCCAGCCATCTGGCATTTGACTTCTCTTCTGCAGAGAAGAATGGGATTAATGGCGATAGGAGAGAAACAGTACTAGGCCAGAAGGTTCACTTTCCTGGTACATTTATGCTTTCTGTAGATGTCTCTAGCATGAAATGATAGCATAAGTTACAGTTGGTTCTCCTTATCAGATTGAAAACAAAAACAAAGCAAAACACAATTCTTGACTGAATTCCAGCTGAAGAAATGCAGGAATGCAAGAGACTATCAGTCCTACCAGTCCATTAGCTCATCTCCCCAACCTTACAGAAATTCTCTCCTTGAGTTCCAACTTGTTTCTGCAAGTTCAGGTTCTAAGCCTTCAGTGTCTTTGTCTCTCCTGTCTAAGCCTTCCAGTCACTGCTGTAGATTACTTTTTTATTTTCTTATTTCAACCCAATTGGATTTTCTGCCTCCAAATACAGAAAGTCACGAGGTCTCCCTAAGAAGTCAAACAACATAGAGGTTTAATGACAGTTAATATTCTGCTTCTTCTCTTCTGCACTCCCCAGACCTAACCTGACAGCTTTGCCATAAATTGAGGCGAACGCCTATCGAACCGAGACTTCAAATCTCAACCCTTTGTTGGCAGAGTTTGAATGTGACATTGACCCACAGTGTCGATGTGAACAGATAGCTATGTAGGGTGGTAAAGATGAGTTTTTGTCAGTCATCGCTTTACTGTCCCGGAAGCATTTTACGAAATGGAACTCAAAAATATATCTTGCTGTACTAAAATAAAATAGAACATTCTTTCAAGTGTCTTTTTTAAATGAGGGTATTTTTCCTACTTTCTCCACACCTCACTTGGCAGCCTGGCTCACCCTGCTATCCTGCGGAGCATGCAAGGATCAACAGAGCATAACTCATGAGCCAAATCCAGTCCGTTGCCTATTTTTTAAATTTTTACATTTGTTTGTTTGTTTATGGTACTGGGGATTGAACCTAGGGCCTTCGCCCTGAGCTATATCTTCAGCCTTGTTATTTATTTACTTAGAGTTGGGACAGTATTTCATTAGGTCAAGTGTCAGACTTTCCTCCTGCTTCAGCTTGGCAAAATGCTAGGATTATAGGCATGTACCATCACGCCTAGTTCACTGCCTATTTTTGTCAATAAAGTGTTATCGAGACACAGCTGTACACCTGTTTATGGCTGCCTTCACATTACCAGAGCAGAGCAGAGTAGTTGTAACACAGCCTAAAGTATTTACTCTCTGGTCCTTACTGACTCATCTACAGGAATAGTTCTCGCCCATCTATATGTTTACTTAACCCAGAGGGTTCTATAAAAGGACGATTCCCAAACCATGTCCTGACCAATTAAGTTAGACTCTCTTGGGGTCTGGCCAGGCATCAGCAGTGTTCAGTTAATTTTGATGTATGGTGCAGGGTGAGAATCGCTGTCCTAAGGGATGGGGTTGATCCCTCTAGCCCCATCAGCAAGCCCTAGAGGGTGAAGGGAGAGTTGTCTACTTCCATAATTAAGCCAAGCAAATATCCAGGGACATGTTTCTCTCTATCCCAAACTTCCTATGTAAAATCTGACTCCTGTAAAAGGGTCATAAGATATAATCCACTCCTGCTCTTCTTTCAATGGCTTGAATTCTTCTTTATTAGTGAATAAAACACATAGAGTCCTTACTATGTATCTATTTCTTTGTCACCTTCTATATCTTCTCTTTTCTTGCTTATCACATCTTATTCCCTTTCTGAAAAAGTACAGTGTGACAGGTGGGCATACAAACTACTAAAAGAGGTGACATATTCCAAGGATTATGGTATTAGAAAAGGACATTCATCTCTTTTATGAGAAGGAGGGTTCCATTCACTTTGCCCTTTGAGGTGGCCTAGCTACATTAAAAGCCTCAAAACTCCATGGTGGTTGCCATCTTCTGCTACTGTTCCTGAAAGAGGATGTGATATACTGATGGATGATAAAACCTGATGAGAAGAAAAGAGACTGAACTGAGAGACCATTCAGTCATAGGTCCTACCTTCCTCATCCCTCACCTCAAGACGTATCTGTACGGTGTTCTACTGATCTCTACAGTCCCATCTCAGCCCACCTCCGTCCCTGCTACCAATTACTTGTCACTTTGCTGCCAAAGACGGTTTTCAAGAAAGGAGTCTCACTGTGCTCCTCTCTCACTGAAAGTCACACCACGATTCCCCAATAAAATTCACACTCTGCAGACCCTACAAGGCTCCTCTAGCCCCTACCCAGCTCTTCAGCTTCATTCTCAAGTTCTACAGATCCCTTTTTAATTCCCCTGATGGGAATTTCAAATGCCTGGAACATTCCATCTCCCATGTCTATCTGCCCTTCTGCCTTACAAACACTGAACAGCATTGACTTCTTGAAGGTTCAGACCATTCATTAGGTCCTCGAGTAAGCTCCAAGACCTTCTTTGTAAGATTGGGTTTTTTGCTGTTTGTTCAGCTGTTCATTCATCCATTTACCTAACAGATATTTTACGGAGAGCTTTTTAAGTTTCTAGGACTTGTTAGTTTCTAGAGATATAAAGCTGCATAGACATAGATTCTTGCCCTCAAAGATCGGGAGTTTAGTAAATAGCTACTCTCTCCCTCCCAAATGAACCACCTAAATCAACGCAAATAAAATATCCAGGAAACATAATTACCAAAGCCACAGAAAAAAGCCAAAAGCACAGTCTGATCACCCTTTGAAGAAACACAAACCAATTGCTACTGAAAGAGATGTAGTGCATCTGCTGAATAAATTGAGTCGGTGAGTGGTGGTCGTCCAAGGTGATCTCCACTTTCCAGTCTCTGAGTTCTTCTTGATGTCATCACACCTTCCATTGTTGGCACTGCAGCAGCAGCCTGTGTTTCAGCATTTGTTCTGCACCTCCGAGCCAGGCAGGCTTGCTGTGGTGAAGGGATGGGTTATTTTTAGGTTGGCTGTTGGATAAAACTGTGACCGTGTTGACAGTTGTCAGCTAGCTGGTTTAGGGCTCGGTTATCTGCCTTCAACGCCCCCTCCAAGGCTCCTGAGCATTCTGGCTTCTCCACCTACCTTCTGTGCAGGATCTGTCAGCAGGAAGGGGCTCCTCTCTGGAGAAGCCAGATTTGTGATCTTCCAGTTAGAGTGGCAACCTCATCAAGCAATTAAAAAAAAAATGCAGCAAGAGCTTTGTGTTCAAGGTATGATTGGAACATATGACAAATGTTTAAATTTTTTAAAGTTCTCACAGTAAAAGACACATAGCCATTAATATGCCATTAATATGCCTCAAAATACCTCCCCCACCTCACTTCCAACACACTGCCCCATCATGTTTTCCATTTTCTGTAGCAGCTCGAAAAGTTTTCGTTCATGAGGATCCTTAGTTATGCTGTGATGGCTGCCTCAATGTTCTGAATCAACTAAAATGTTTACCTTTTATTGTTATCTTGACATTGGGTAAGAGCCGGAAGTTGCATGGTGCCAGATTTGGTGAATAAGGTGGATGTTTTTATTAGATAGAAATTGCATTGCGTACCAATGATGTTCAGTATGCAACACAGAGCTTCACCATGACAAAGGATGAAACTGCCCATTTCTGGGGTTGTCTTCTACACATGCACTTCTTAAATACACTATTGAGTCCTTACATAATATTCATAATTCACTGCAGTGTTTCTGGGTCCAACTCAGCTCACACAATTTGAACCAGATCAAAAAGCATAGTCAATAGCGCCTTGATATAGGATCTTGATCAATGTGTTTGTTTTTGTATGACTGCTGGATGATTTCCAGTGAGAATCTTGAACTTTAGTCTCAGGATTTCTAACCACAGAACCAAGTATCATTTCCCATGATGATATTTCTTAAAAAACTTGAACCTAAAGCAGTATGATCAACCAGCACCAATGAAACTGACAGCCACTTGGACAGTCAAGACACATGGGACAAATTTTGTCATTACTCATCTCATGTCCCCATGTGTTATTAAAATGCTTTGAAGGGAATTACAATCGAGACTTGTCACACTATTACTAAGGCTCAGCTGGTCTCTGCCTTTCCATTGGATGTCTCTCAGCCACAATATTCACCTTGGTTTTTAAATCACACCTCATGCATCTGAAAGAGCCTTCTGTGTCTAAGTTGGCAAAGAGTGGACTTTTAAAAAAGAGGAAACAGGGAATAGTTTGAGGTAGAGCCATTGAGGGTGCCTTCCTTAAAAGACAGCTCATCTCTCCAGTGAACTCCAGCGAAGCTTAGGTTATAGAGCGGAGCCCTGCTGGATCTGAATAATGCTCTTGTTTTAAACTTTCCTGTTTCTTATCCCTTGGCATCACAAGTTCTGGAAAATCTGGGCTAATGATACCATTTCTGTTCATCAGCCCCAGGCATATATTAATTATTCTCCCAATTGTTTTGTATTTCTTTGTTAGCTCTTTATTCAAGGACAGCAAGTAAAGGGGAATAAAAGGAAAATGGAAAAGAAGACCAGGGGAGGGGTATTGAGGGGTAATGAACTGTGACACTTAGATTTATGAAATAACAAAATGGTCACAACTAACAACGAGCAAGGATAAAAGAAAAGACAGCTGTCCTTAGAACACTAGTGCGGGGAACGTGTACAGAAGCAGAGGACATCAGGGCCTCAGTAAATGTCTTTACTCAACACTGCATTAGGGCTCTCTGGGTATCTAGTAACAGGATCCTAAATCAAGCTGGGTTAAGCAGAAAGAGGATTGATTGTATAAAGCAAAGGCGTGATTGAAAATCTACAGTGAATGTTTAAATTTTTTTCAGTAAAAACACACATTGCCATTAATTCCTCTCAAAATATTCCCCTCGCTTTGAATATACTTATCTCGTTGTCCTTGCCACCTTCTAAAGCAGTTCTGGAAGTTGTCTTTCATGGCTTTAATGGCACCGTTGTGGCACCTCCATGTCCTGCATTGAGTCAAAATGGTTC